TTTCTCCAATTAAACCATCCAAATTGCATCTTATGTGAAATATCCTCACTAATTTTTCTATTATTTTGAATAACGGCTTTCAAATATCTAAACTTTTTCACTTGATGTGTAATTTAATCTCTTAATTTTACTTCTAAATTACTGTTGACTAATCTTTTATCAAATTTATAATATAATTTAATCTCCTACTCAGACGAAAACATTTTGACTCCAATGTTCTCCTTCGTAATTCAAATTTACAATTAATCTCTTCTCTTGTCTCTGCTATAAGAACTATATCATCCATGAAAAGTATATATTTAGGAATTTCCTCTTAAATATGTTCTGTCAAAATATTTAGGATCAAGTTAAATAGATAAGGACTCAAAGATGATCATCCCTGATGTAGTCTAATCTTTATAGGAAAGTCTTTTGTTTGACCACTGGATGTTCTTATACTAATTTTATTCTCTTATACATATCTTGTATAACTTTAATATAAGCAATCCGTACTTTCTTTTTTTCTAAGGTTTTTCAAAGCACTTCTCTTGATATACAATCATAAGCTTTTTCCAAATCAATAAAAATTATTTGTAAATCTTTATCTTTGCAATGATACTTTTTTATTAATCTCCGTAGTAGATAAATCACCTTTGTAGTTGATCTACCTAGCATAAAATCAAATTAATTCTTAAAAATACTTGTCTCCAATTTCAACCTATGCTCAATTACTCTCTTCGACAATTTCATTGTGTGGCTCATGAATTTAATCCCTCTATAGTTAGTACAATTTCGAATATCTCTTTTATTTTTATAAATAAGAATTAATGTACTTCTCCTCCAATTGTCAGGCATTTTCTTGGATCATAAAATCACATTAAATAACTTAGTTAATCATCTTACCCTTTTTTCACCTAAAGATTTCCACACTTCAATAGGTATACAATTAAGTCCGTTGGCTCTATCATTTGTCATTTTCTTAAGAGCTTCCTTTACCTCTTTATTACGTATTATCTGATAAAATGACAAATTTTATTATCCTTCACGAATTACTAAATCCTCCAAGTTATTAGATGAACCCTCTCCATTATTGAAAAGTTTGAAAAAGTAAGTCTCCTATCTGTTTTTAATTTCATCATCTATAACTAAAATTCTTCCCTCTTCATTTTTTATACACCTTATTTGTTCTAGATCTCTTAATTTTCTTTCCCTACTCTTAGCAATCTTTTAAATTTTTTATTCTCCTTTATTTGTCTCAAGGATCTTATAAAATTTCTCAAAAGCTTTAGAACAAGCTTCATTCACAGCTCTCTTAGTTTCCTTCTTAGTTATACAGTACCTTTTCCAAATTTTCTCATTGTTACAGAAATGTATGGCTTTAAAACATTTCTTCTTATATTTGATTTTGTCTTATACACTATTATTCCACCACAAAAACTCCTTATCTCTCGAATCAAAACCTTTTGATTCTCCTAAAACTACTTTTACAACCTCCCTTATTTTTTTAGCCATATCCTCCTACAAGATGTTAGCACTTCCCTAAGATTTTTAAATTTTTTTGTCCAAAAGATTCCTTGCTTGAAAATATCCTACTCTGCACCTTTTAATTGCCACAATTCACATATACATTGCATAGGAGATTAACTAATTCACAATTCTTAATATTAAAACTTAAAACCTTAATTTCTTAAAAAAATTGTATCTTTCTAATTATACCTTCATTAAATACTATGTATAAATGCTTTGATAATGATAATTGAAATTTTAATGCCTCTTTTATTTTAAAAAAGAGTAATAAATGAAGTATGGGTATAGTTAAAAAATAATTATAAAAGTTACTTGATACCATATATTTTGGACCAAATAAAGCTTATAAAAGATGCTTTATATTATAATTCAGAAGGGGGTATCTTTATTATAAGGCATTCTTAAATATTTTTTTGAAATCAAGAAATGATAGTAAATTCATTAAATATATCATAAAATAAAATATTTTTGGACTTTATCATTATTAAAAATTGGAAGAGAGAGAATATATACAATAGATGGTAAATTTACAATAGGAATAAAATTAAGAAAATAATAATATACAATCCTCAATGCTTCATATTAAGAACCAAATAATTTTTCTAGATAATAGGGATTGGAGGGAGTAAATATGGTTTAATTTAGGGCCAGGTATAAAGGCTGGGTCTAAAGGGGCTAGGTTTGGAGGTCCTGTTTAAATAAAGGTTTAAGTTTTAAAAATATTTTTTTTAAATAACCAAGCTTGAGAACTTGGTATTGTTAAGCTTTGTAAAAAAAGACTCGAGCTCGGACGGCTCTTCAAATTCTGTTATATTATTATTAATTTTTTTTCTTTAGTGAAACACGCATTTGAAGTGAAGGACTTGCTCGCTTAAAGCCCTAATCATACACACATTATATTATTATTAATTTTAATTTATTTTAAAATTAATTTAATATAATTTAATAAATATCAGTGTCCAGCAAATTTTTTTTGATATTTTTTATTTTTCTATAATTATTATATTTATGTATTTATAAAAAGATGAACTATTTTCTAACCAAGACTTGAGTTTTATTACTAGACTTCTAAGTGTGTTTTGTTTAATTTTCAAAAGATTATGAGGATTTTGATTTTATTAATTTTAAAATATTTTAATTAATTTGTAATGTTTAATTTTATTTTCTTTTTTTAAAATTTTTTCAAAACAGGGTTCAGGAGCCCGGTCCTGAGCCCTTCAAATAGGGGTCAGATTTTAGAAAAGAGATAAAAAAAATAAAAAACTGAGTTTAAGGGCTCAGGCCCTTATGAGCTGAATCCATAAGGGCTGAGCCTGCTCATTTTCTAGCTCTAATTCAATCAAATCAAACATGAAAATGACTTAGTTTATTTTTTTAAATTTATAGTTTCAAATTATTTATTTTTAAAAAAATCACGTTGAGAGAACATTGTTTTTAACCATAGGCCCAGTGATACTTGCACATCAAAAGCTAGGATAATATCAAATGATAATGTAAAATTAAATAAATACACATTAATTTAAATAATTGCATAGCCAGAGCCTGAAATAATTATACATTTAAACTCAGTTTCAGATAGTACTATCCTCATCATATTAATTTCTTTTTTGATAGTCAATACTCTCTCTATCTCAAATTATAAGACACTTTTAGATAAAATTTCACATACCAATAAACCTCATTAAGTACACTTAACAATCTTATTTTTTCAAAATAAAAATATAAACTTTCAAAAATGCCCATCATTTAATATATTAAAAATAGAAGAAATATAAATTAATTATAGAGAGAGAGAGAAAGGGTAATATTGGAATTGAAGCATTTAATAAAATATTAATCTATCCAAAGTGTCTCATATTTTAAAATGGAGAAATTACTTTAAAAGCACCCTATAATTTAAGACGAAGGAAGTATTATATTTGTAATGTTTCATTATATCTTCGATTTGCATGGTACTTATAATGATTGATCAATTATATCTTAAAGTTTTATGATATTTATTATCCCGTGCGTCATACTCCTTGTATAACGCACAGGATAACAAATACTAGTTATTATTCCATATTAAACTATTAGGAATAAATAGAAGTTACTCCGATCCCTCAGTTCTTATTTAATTAAAACTTTTTTATATTCATAATTAAGTCATTTTATAAAATTTATAAAATAATATTTCTTTTAATAATATCACCCTTGGTATATATATGGATATTGATGGGCAAGTTAATTATGGTAGAAAAATGAATTGAGTGAAGAAATTAATGATTAATAATTTAAATTTAATTAATCGTATTTGTCAGAAGAAGAGATCGTTTTAAGATAATCAACTAATTTTAATTAAGTTTATTAATTAATAATAGAAGTTGAAATAGTAAAATAAATCATAAAATTCTTTCGTGTGTGCCTGCAGGCATCTACCCAGAGACATTGATTCAGGAATGCATTCAAACATATTTGACAATAAATCATGCATGGCCAACAAATATGGGACCACGCAGCCGTACGTGAGGAATAAAAGAAGGAAGAATGACAAAACAGGACCACTAAATTAGTGTAATACCAATGAAGTTCCATAAAATTAGCTTTTATTAGCTAAGATCCATTAAGTTTACTCGTGAAATGACCATATTACCCTTTATTTTTTATGAGTAACTTAGGGCGCAATAACAATAACAATAACAATAACAAGTAACCTCCCTCTCATTTCAAATTTTTTTAATTGAAGTTCCACCCACTTCAATCATCTTAACTTATTATTTTTTATTTTTTTATTATTGATAACTTTATTATTTTCTTAGTCCTCTCATATCTTTTTTTTTTTCACCTACTGAATGAAAATAAATTTGTCCCTTTCAATCTTTCATGTTTGTTTCGAATGTCAACTTGTCTTCCTTTTATCTCCTGAAATTTTTTTACACCTATTTTAAATTTGAGATTTTAAAAAGAAGATTATTTTAAATCTAAAATTTAAATTTAAATCCATCAATTTAAATACTACTAAAAATCAAAGTTGTTATTACGTGTGAGTGAAGTTGTGGAACATAGCATTGTGGAGAGGATCTGTTAATGTTGAACCCCCCAGTGTAAATACTGTAAACTAAAGTTATTATTCATGAAAACTGTTGGTTGACTTTGTGAAGAAAAGTTGTTAATTTCAAATTTATAATTATTAATTCTATAGACTATTACAGTTGTCAAGGGAAATTTATTATTCAATTCCAAGTTACTTTATTTTTGCTCCGAATCCCAATATGAAAAAAAAAATGTTATACATGTTCGTGTTATTTCTTTTTGGTTTTTTGTTTGCATCAAACGTCACATTATAATCCACCTCGACTTTATCACCTGAATAACCCTATAGGTGGAACTTGCTTTCCATTTTAACGAAAAAAAAAAATGATCTCTTTGGATTCGATCGAAGAAGTAGATTAAATTAAATATATAATGAATACATTAATTGCACAACAATTAATTAATTAATAATCTAAACAAATTTACCCAATAATTTCATTTCTCGTGCATGTCCTATATCTGATTTCTGCATCTCTTGAACCAACATGCACAACATTACAGCACTCTCTTCTACCCTGAAACACAATATATATAATCCCTTTAATTAAGGTCAGCCACACGTGTTGATCGATCATATTAATATAGAGTTATAGTTATGTCAGAGAGGAAAAAAAAAAGAACAAGTCAATTTTTCTTGATACATAATATGAAAATGCAAATAAAAATATCTTCATTTAACAGTTCAGGCTTTTAATTAAAGTAAGGTGAAATTAACGTTTCTCCCTAGCGTCCGTGTGTGTGTGTGTGAGGATCTGTAGAAAAAACAGACACAAAAGTACATAATCTTCGTGCTCCCTCTTGTCTACAATGTAAGCCATTGATAACTACAGTCTACCTTATGATTCTATAAAAAAAAAAAAAATTAGTTGAAACATTTTAAAAAATTATGCATATTTTTAATCATATCCCATTAAATGCTCTATATAAGTTTTTAATGGAGATAAATGAAATTTTAATAGGCTAATTTTTTTTTAAAATAATAAATGAAGTAGGGGTTCGCTACTGAAAAAAAAAATTATAAAAATTATTCAATATTCTATATTTTAAACTAAATAAGACTACTAGAAAATGTTCTATAATATAAATAAGAAAGTATATCAAATAGGGATATATTATTATCCATCCCCCTTTGATATTATAAGGGTGGGCCTAAAAAACCTCAAACCTTGAAAAAAAAGGAGAGAATTTTAATAAAGATCCCTTAATCACACTTATTTAAATTCAAAGTTCTTAAATTTATGAAATTAAACTGTAGTCCAAAAATATTAATTTGATATTAAATTTTTGAGAGAAAGAATAAACTTACCCCTCATTTAAATTAATATCAAAACTTCTTTACTTTATTTGTTCATTGGCTTACTTCACTTGTTAATTTACCTACAAAATGTTATTAGTTATCCTACTTACCTTATTTTCATTTTAGGTGTTTAAATTATCTTAAAATAACTTATTGATTCTTATACTATATGTTGTTTTACAGATTGTTGTTTATTACCTTACTTCACTTATTTATTGCTTTACTTTATTCATTCATTGCTAGATTTTTACTTAATTTCATTAACTAGGGAAATGAACAATTATAGTAGGGCAATTACTAATATTCTATAAGTAAATAAACAAGTGAAGCAAGGCAATTAACAAGGAAAATAGAAAATTTTTTATATTAATTAAAATGAAAGGCAATTTTGTCACTTTTCTTATAAATTTAATATCAAATCAATATTCTTGGACTGCAGTAAAATTTTAAAAATTTAAGAACTTTGAATTTAAATAAATGTAATCAAGGGGTCTTTATTAAAATTTTTCAAAAAAAAAAAACCCTGAACAGGTAGCCTGATGTGTCTGGTATATTAATTATATGCATACCCAACCTATGTATTTTTCTCTCCTCGCACCACCATATTACTAGGCTTAGCACGAAAATCAATGACAAATTTATGTTATGAAGGGTCAATAGTATATGATATTTGGGCAAAAAGGAAGAAATGGAAATACCAGATATTTGGGCAATAATACACACACACAAACCTGCAAGTTTGTTGTTGCCCGAGAGAAGACTCTGACTCTGTAGATAGAATCAGCAGACTTGTGTCCAACAAGAGGACAAGCAATCAAACCTCTGGGAGATCTTCTCTTAAACGTCGTAACTATCTGATCTTCCCCACTATCAACCCTGACTTTCTCCATTGATTCTGCAAAGAACGCATGAGGAGCTTCACAGGGATTATCATTGGGCAGTCTGGTGTTGAACATGTAGTACGGCGGCGCCGAGATCTCGGCGAGCCACGGCTTGAAGGTCTCCAAGGGCCTCTTGAGAAGCCAGCGAGGGAAAACACTTTCATAGATTTGCAGAGAGTAACCCCACGAGACTGAGAAAGTCCAGAAATTTGGCCTGTGGTGGCATATAGTTTGCTGAAGAATGCGAGTGTGGTCGAATTTGGCTGCACGAAGAAGATGCTTTATGGACTCTGATCGGTTCTTGGAGGGGAAGATTGGGTCTGTGGTGTCCATGTGGTGGATGGACACAAATGGAGCATTTGGATGAGCTGAAAGCAGACCTGATACGTCACCGTGTGCATCAACCTGCACGTACATACATACATGCATACATACATATTGTCAGTACATGTTCCCACAAGGAACCACAAGAGTGAGTGAAATCAACATGCCTGTGTATATATGCATGAGAGAAAGGCACATTAAAAGGCCCTAACACCTATGTGTGTGTATAACAAATCTTACTTTTCATTAGTTGAACGGGTTTCCAAAGTATGTCTATTTCTTTCAATGACTATATATTGGGAATGGGGAATGGGGAGAGATTGCCTGAAAACAAGGCAAGAGGACAAATGAGCAATAGTAAAAGGAGGACACGATACCTTAATCTAAATAAAATCTCAAGGCTTTGGTTTATAGGTTTTTTTTTTCTTTTATAATATATTAGTTATAAAACTTAATTTTATCTAATGTGGGCTTTTTCATATTGACTTGAGTGTAATCACCCTTGAACAACCTAGCAACCTCTTCTTTAAATGTGAGTTCTCAAAGTCCTCATATCAAAGATGTCACAAACACTAAGCACTGCTCTTGCAATTTAGGATATAGTTCAATTTTTGAGCTTCAAACTTTGTCTCGCACACAAAACGTAATCTATTACTATCGAGTTAGGAAAGTTGTTATTAGGTTTCCTTGACTTTGTCCCACTATGAACAATATGGCTGCAGATTTTTTATTTTTTTTTAACTCCATGCAATGTTATTTGGTATAGCTATATTTGATATCTAGTATTATTTTTTGGGTTAGATTGAAGCATATTGTTAGCTCTCCTAAAAGTGTTTTTAACATTCACATACGCTTGAACTTGAAATCTTATAACTAAGAAACTATAGTTGTTTCCATTATCTGGCTCAAATCGGGTAACTAATAATATTATAATACGCTAGGAATTGTATATGAGATAAAAGTAAAGGAAAATTGCAACCAAGGACCTATACAAAAAGTTATTTGCAAATAAGAACCAATATAGAATAGGTTATTATTAAAATGGGAATATAGACTTTTTTTTTTCCCTCGAATGATGATTTATTATTGATTCTTGTCTTTAAATAACTTTTTTCATAGGTCTTAGATGCAATTTTCCTAAAGTGATATCAAGTTGGTTTTTTTATTATTGACCATGCAATGTATGGAAAATCATATATTTGGCTAAAATTTAAAAACAACAATAAAAAAGATATGGATTAATTACCTGGTGAAAACCTCTTTCAAATGTTGGATCAACTCCGAGATCAGCAATACAAGCACTCACAATATAATCACTAGAAACCAAATGTGTATATCTCTCTATGCATCCTTCTAAGTTCTCAACTAGGGCTTCCATTAACGGATAGCTCAAAGCAAACCCTCCTCCTCCATACGCCATTTCAAAAGCGAACAATGAATTCGACTTTATGGCTTCAGAATGCATCCCAACATACATTTGCTTTGTGTGATCATACTTTGATAAAACCCTAACCAGATTCTCAATCACCATCACCGTGTCATCATCCGTCATCACGAACCACTTCACATTTTGATCTCTTTGCTTGAATGTCTTTAAGATCGATCTAAGAATCCTCACCTGCAATGGCAAAGCCAAGACCCTAGGCTAAGGAGGCAATTTTTTTTAAAAATAATTTTAAAAATAATTTGGTCATTAAAAAATCAATTATGTATATTAATTAATTTTTCAAGCTTTGAGTTAAAAGGTTGAAAAATTGTCAATGGGTTACTTGTTCTAGTGGTAGCATTACCTTCCTCACTAAGAAGAGATCCCAAGTTAGAATTTAGTATTGACATGTTTGTATACGTGTTCCTATGGGGAAAGGTTAAGTGAGAGGTAAAATTTTAAAAAAAGATTAAAAAATTTTGATATAAGTTTAGAAAATTTAGGTTTCAAGATATTAAAAAGAACGGTGCAAAAAGCAAAATCTAGAATTTCATCACCATAATATGTTATTTTCTCCATATGCCCCTTAATTGTATGTGGCTCCGCTGCTGCTCACCTGAATAGGGCTCGGAAACTTCTTGAAAAGCTCGAGCTTCGTCACATCCTCATGGACCTTATACGGCGGAGAAGTGGCCGGCCATGGCAGAGAATCCTTCCCTGGAACCTCCTCGAAGAAGACATATCCTCTTGTAACATTAGGTTGCCACCATGATTCAATGTAGGGTTTCTTTTTCTTCCATGTTTTAACAGAAGCAGCTATACAGAACACGATGTCGCTGACGTTAATGGCGTTGTTAGAATTAGAATGAGACTTACTGTGTACATGTGATGATGACGACGTGGATGCTAATGATGGTGATGTTAAAGATGAAGGTGGACATTTTTCCTGGAATCTTGCGAGGAGGTAAGGGAATTGATCATGTAGAGGATGAAGCTGCAAGAAGGTGACGAAGAGGATCAAGACGAAAAATATACCGAAGAAGATGACACATTTGTATAAAGCTTTAAGGGTTAAGGGACTGTAATGTTGGTCCTTCAACAACACCAGGTTGGCTGAAGAGTTTGAAGGAGTCATCGTGAAGAAGAAGAAGAATAAGAAGAAGAAGCATTAATTAGGGTTGAAGGAAAATCATCGGACAAATTTGCATGGCGGGGGGGGAGAGAGAGAGAGAGAGAGAGAAGGAAGGAAAATAAGGAAGAATCACAAATTTTTGAGTTGGTGATTTGACTAAGGCACTATTTATAAGCAAGACGTTTGAATCCAACCTACATGTACTTATAGTATTTTGTTTGGTTCCTTTGTTGACAAATCACGAATTTAGATCGGTTTTCTTAGTAATATTTTGTTTTTTTGTCCCTTCATTTGGGCTTCTGTCCCCCTCCTTATGTAGATTAATTAGTTCCCACATATTCGTTACAATTTAACGTATAAATAGAAGATTAAGTGCATATTTACGAGATTCAAGGGCAAGGGTGGAAGGAGGATCAGTACAATGATATTTTGGTCTTTCATATTGTAAAAAAAATAACATATCTCTTTATGTATTTATTTATCATTTAGGAGACTTAATCCGTATTAATTTTTTTATAGGGTATTTGTTTATAATTTTTTGGGTCCTTTTTTTATAATTTTTATATCATATTTTCTGTAATATTTTGAGTCAACTAATATTTAAAGTTAACATTTATTAACAGTAAAGTCAATATATATTATACCAATTTTAATTGTTGAAAGGGAATATATTGCACTATAAAAAATTATAATACCACATGCACCTATTCTAATAGTTGAAAGGACAAAAATATCTATTAACCTATATTTATATCCAAAATCAAAGCTCTATTATTGGTAACTTCTTGTTGAAGTAATGATGTAACATTCTAAAATTTAATTAGGATTGACTAATATTAATTAAGGGTAAGTTAGTAATTTGAGAGTTACCCAAGTAGGAGTTGATTAATAGATGACCCTAATTGGGCCTATTGGACCCTTTGATAGGCTTAGATCTAGACTTAGGAGAGCATTTGGTTCAATTGAATGGACCATATTCGGGTTGGCCCTTTCTATGTTATCCATCATGGCATATGGCACCATTTGCTTCAGCAAACACTCAAAATTTGATATAATCATATTAGTTGGAATAGTATGAAACAAAAGAGAAAAATGTGAGAGGGAGAGACGGCCAAGGCCTTGCTAGGGCTTTCATGGTTTCGGCACTTAGGGGCTATTAGGAGCTAGGTATCGCTTGGGTAATTAAGGTCCAAATCTCTTCCCTCTACCTTTCGATGTGTTTTTCTCAATGGTTTTTAGGGGTTGGATGATGGAAATCAAAATGGATGAGGTTTCCATCATTTGATCTAACCTAAATGGGTTGTTAGATGTTTATTTAGGTTTCTAATCATTCAGTTGAAGAGGTTATGATGATTTAGGGGTTGGTGATGGGTTTTGACTAAATCCTGGATATAAATGAGTGTTAGAAGACAAGGTAAGTATCTAAAATAAGCGTTGAGGCTAATTAGAGTATGCATGGACTAAGGGATGTTATAAATTAATTTAATTATGAGAGATGACCGCATTGGAAATTTTGGGTTAGTAGGTTAAATAGAGAAATCCATAGATTGCAGATTATGATGATTGTGTTCAATTGTAAATTGAGTTATATTGGAGTATTTGGGCAAGGAGAGGCTCATTTGTTCATTGTCATAGGTAAACTTGGTTTAAAAACCAAGAGTTGAGTAACCGGGAACCTAATTCTCTTTTGTACTTGTTGATATATACGTGTGAGAATTGTGAAATGTATGAATTAGTGTTTTGATATGGCAATAATATGTTTGATTTTAGAAAATAATGTAAAGTGGGCTTAAAAATCCTATATGATGCCATTAAGTGGTTTATTATATATATATATATATATATATGTTGTGAATCTCAAGCATATGATAATGAATGTAAATTGTTGTGAAATTGAGTATGAATAATATGTTTTGGCATGATCACATATGAATGCGTGGGAGTTCATCATAGGAGAGTCAGTGAAAATTCACATGATAAAACCATCACCATGAGTAGTCTCGGTGTGTAATCTATTGTGTTGTTCTATCATTATTAATATTATATGGGAAGTGGCATGGGTTGGGCATTGCCTTGTATCATTAGTTCCTATGAAAATCAGTGTGGGTTAGTTATATGACATCTCTTAGATTCGAGAAAGGGAGAATTCATGATTCAAGAGTAAGCGTGGTAGCCTTTAATCAGGTTTCCAATACTAGGAAAACTTGGTCTAGTCATTACTTGTAATTTTTACTTACATATATAGCTCATAGATTTGGTTGCAAGTATTAGAAGATATAAAGATGATACACTAATCATGCATTGACATAATTTGTTTTACTTACATGCTTAAGTGATTTGAATTGTTGATTTTGAATAGACCTACTTTGTATGCTCAAAATATTATTTCTTGCATCTAATTCAGTTTGATTTATTAATTATTGAGATTTTAATTTCACTCCAATCCTGTGAATTAACATTTCACCGGAGATGATCAAACTAGGATCAAAAGGGAGGCATCCAATGCTGGAGACACTTAGTTTGACTATAATGTCTGGATTATTGTGTATTTGATGAATACATTGCCAACAAGAAAGTTATTTCATCACTCGCAGGTAGTCACACATTATAGATTGGCATTTTGGTTGCATTTGGCCATTGTGGGATTATTCCCAAGTTTGACTTTTGGTTTGGGTCAAATGCTATGCAAGTATATGTGACCACCACTATCGAATACTTTTTTTAACTCTAAAATTGTTTTTAAATTAATATAATTTAAAATTGTTTTTCAAATTAATATAATCAAAGTGTTTTTCTTTTTATTTTATTTTAAATTAGTAAAATAATTTTAAAAAATAAAAAATTGAGAACAAAACGAAACAAGCCCTTAAATTTTTTTTTCTCACTTAATTTTACTTCAGTTAGCACTTCTTCTCTTAAATTTATTTTTTAATTTAGTTTATTATACTTTATTAAATTATCAAGTCAGTCTTTTAAGTTTTGAAATATAACTCTCAAAAATTAATTTAATGTGTAAAGTATATTGATTACTTGACACACACACATAGCTAAACTTCATAGTTTTTTATTAATATTTTTCCTTATATTCTTGTTTTGTTATTTTCTTATACAGTGTTTTATTCTTTTATTCTTTTATTTTTAGTTTTCAAATTTATTTTTTTTAAATATTATAATTGTTTTCATTAATTTACATTACTAACAACTCAACAATATATTATCAATGTATATTTTAGTAATGTTATATCTTGGTTAACTAAAAAAGATCAAATCGATTATCAAAATAAATTTAATAAATTGAACGTTTTATTATTGCCACAATTTTCTGCTGACTATTTGTATGAAAAGAAACATAAATGATGAAAAACCAAGTCTAGAATCAAAGGTCTTTTTCTAATATGTATTTCATTTATTCTGCTATCTTGCTCTCTATTTCTTTTCCATTCCTTGTCTAAGATTATATGAAAGAGAAAAAGTGTCTATTTCAACTCAATGTTTTAAGACTTATATGATTAGACTGGTTGGACTATCACTGGAATATAAAAGCCGTTCAATTTGACTAATAAACCATTTTGATCTGGACTATCTTGACAAAACCAGAATGATTGGACTACTTTTTCTTTGCACTCTTATTTTAATAATAAATTTTTTTGTTCATTTTTTTATAAGCAAATTTTTTATTCAATTTTAAAATATCAATGTTAACCTTTTTTTTGGGTTATTATAGTAAAATTTTAAGTGCATGATTTATTTATTAAAATTATATGAATTAAATTGTAGAGAAAATTAAAAACTTAATTTATTTTAAAAGAAAAATAAGGTAAATAATATATATATATATATATATATATAAATGAAAAACATTATAAAATTTAAACTGTTTTATGTTAAGACAATTAAAACTTAATATGTTATGATTGAACAAATTTATTGTATGATATCCATAAACCAAAAAAAGAATATCATTCACTTATCAAATTTGATATAAAACAAAAAAAAAATCTAATTTTCCAAAATTTTTTATAAAAAAATAAAAAATTATAATCATTCTTGGAAATTAAAAGCATCATAAGAGTCATGAAGTCAAAAGTATGAAAAATGATATCTTAACTCTTATTCATTGTATGAAGTCCCAGATTATAGACACAAGTCTATATATATAGATCATTCTCTCAATCAAGTAGCGGAGTCTACTTGCCCGCCATTTCTTTATACGCACACAAACAAGTTTAAAGCTTAATCACATTTCTACCCCACCCCATGATAACTTTTTTCTTTGATAACTTGATTCTCTACACTTGTTTATTGACTGCACAAGAAAACAGTGCAAGAAGGCACCACAATGTGTACAATACAAGAGGAATGGGTCTTCTGAAATTAAGAATGTGTCATGAAGTTTCCTTTTTTCGAGAAGAGAGAGAAGATTTTATATTTCATAAAAAATAATAAAATGCAGAAATATATATATATATATATATGTAAAAGAAAACTTCATGAATTGATAGTTCAGAGTTTTTGTTCCCCAATACAAGAATAAAAGCATTTTTCCTTTTTTTTTTTTTTAGAAAAAATGATATGTCACGTATCTTGAGGGCCGTCAAAAGATTGGGGCCTTCTCAAGTTCCAGTGAAGGCCCTCATGAATGCTTCTTAAGAAATCATTAGTAGAATCAACCAAACAAGCAGTAGGAACAGGCCATGGTGCCATGCTGCACACAAGTGCATCCCCCGGTTCCAACTTCTTCCTGCCCTTGCCATCAAATGATGCCCATGCTGGGCTTCTTGTATTTGAAGGTATTTGCACCCTCAGACTCACATGCTCTGGTAATATCAATGGCCTAAAAGATAGGGAATGTGGACAAATTGGTGTGAACAAAATACCCGGAACCTGCAAAATTCCACAATTGAGTTTCCATAGTTTCATAGCCGTTACTCGGCAAAGGATGCTGACATAGATACACATACACGCATTTATGTATTCTTACACCAGAAGACAGAATGACGTGTAAGAATGTACTCCTTTCAATCCTAAATATAAGATGCTTCGAATTTCTCGAACGTCCTAAGGAAAGTATGTTGCATTGTCAAAATTTGTCAAAAAAAGGCTAAGATTCCATTTTTACCCTTATTAATTGTAGAAATGTAAACATCATAAAACCTCCATCCTTTTTATGGGACAACTTATGAGATCACTCCTTCAAAGTCTAAGAGGTTAAAATGGGAAACCATTAGATGACATTGCATAACATCTTATGTCATGAACAAAGAAAGTCCTTCAGAAGACAGCTTACAATTAGGATTGGAGGGCGTAATTATGTAGGACTTGTCCCATTTTCACACTCCTGATATCTGTATTCATCTCTCTCCTAATGCCTCTTATGCCTTATTTGTGTGAATGTAGAATGTTTGAATGTAATCAAAAAAATCCGATTGATTTAAGGACCTTGACTGAGGGACGAAGGACAAAACGTTACCTGAGGATGGACCATTGATCCTCCAGCTGCCAGAGAATAGGCAGTACTGCCAGATGTTGTAGATATGATCAATCCATCTCCTTGCACACATGTGACAAACGAGTTGTCACAGTAACATTCCAAATTTGTAAGGAAAGATGATATTCCACGATCAATAGTAACCTCATTTAGAACAAGCATCGGTTCTTCAGATTCTTGTTCATTTTTAGCTGCATCTCTTACCACTTGACATAGCAAACGGTTCCTCAATGTGATGCCAACAGGGCCCTTCAATATTGACTCAAGGTATTCTCTGTAATGTTCACTATCTAAAGGATGTTAAGTTCAACTTTCAATCAGGCATGGAATCAGATGCATATTTAAATAATAATAATAATAATATGCATGAGAACAAAGATGGAGGATACAGAAAGGAGTCAAAAAGCCAAGCGAGCCTAAAGAAAATGGGACAATGGGAGGAACTGGTCCTTTGAACATAGAAGCTGCCTGCAGGTTCAATACATGATAAATCACTAACAATGTGTCATAGCAAAATAACATTGAACAAATTGCGCACATGCACTCTAGTGCAAAAACACAACCATGGATGTGAAAGTGAAGAAAATTACGGTTATTTGTCAGATAGAATTAGTAATTTAAAGTAAGGTTTTATCCTAATTATTTTTGTGCTGAAGTCGTTGCATAGATATTTGGCAAGATACAACTCCATATATTGATGCCATTGCATAGAATCCTTCAATGTTAATAATTAGAACTAAGCAATATTTGAAAACATGGTCTTCAGGCGTAAATCTCAGGAAAATAACAGGAAATAAGAAGGACTGCCCTTTGGCATGTCAGTTTTTTATACAACGCGACCGGTAACTGATAGCTTGTTAGTTAGGATGTAGGCTGAGTTAGCCAAGCTGTAAGTAGAGTTTAATTACCATTATGGTTGTTGGGATAAATTCCAGCCAAGGACTCCAAATCAAAAACAGTGTAAAAGAGGCAGAGTATGACTATAAGAGGTGTGAAGCACTAAGTAGAGACTTTGGAACTTGAAATTCAATACCAGCTAGTATCAGAGCTAAAGTATATTAGAGAACAAGTATGAAGGCAATTGTCTCAAATTGATTGAAGTGAGTGTCCATGCACATTAGGAGCATATGGTTCGGTGACTAGGTACACTCATGTAGGTATGCTTAAGTAGATGAGAGCCTGCACTTGTGCCTATTTAGAGCAGAGGACTCAGTAGTTAGGAGCATTCATGTCAAGATGGCTTCTTGTAAATGGATTGCTATCAAAAGAAAGGAAAAGGAATAGTATGTTTGCAGAGTAAGTCATAGACTCACACTCAAAGAAAAGATTGTTAATATCAAGAAAAAAAGGCAGGAAGAAATCCAACATTTAATAGAATTGAGGAAAAGGGGTGTTTGTAAGTAGAAAAGACCAACGTCCTCAGATTTTGGATCAAGAGATGGTATCTAACCTATTTATATATATATATGTATGTATGTATATATATATATATATTTTCTCAAAGTCCAATTAAAAGAAGGCCAATAGATCTTATCAATGTCTGACACTCTCTCTGGCCCTGACAGAGGCATGAGATGATGATAAGAGATTTTAGCACTTGAAATTTTCTACCAGTTACTCGCTTTAGTTACAATAATTGCAAATAAAATTTTAGCCCCTATATTCTTAGCCTCTAACCATAGTTTGTGTAACATAGCAAGTATCACATAGAAGGAAAAGCCGGGAAATATTTGGACCAGAAGGTTAATTGTCCATCCGCTTGTAACAAAACAGAGGAAACTTTCAGTATGGCTTTATGCTAAAACTCCATATCAACTAACAAGTAAATTTAAAATGAGTGAACATACCCATAGCACAGTGCCATCTCCACCAAGTGTTATCACAATGTCAACTTTAGTATGCAGCCACGGAATTTCCTCCTCTGCAAGCAATAAAATAATGCTCATTATCCAAAATTAACATATAATAAATACAGTTTGCAAAATCATGCAAAGCATCTAACATACTAAGTCCCCCACACTAATTGCATCAGGATAGTACAACATTTCCAATGAGAACATCAAAGTAAAAGCCAAGAAATTTTTCAAGCGTATAAAGCGATCCTTTTACAACATGAAATATTGCAAAGCTTACCATCTTTCCAACTTTCTAAAAAGTTAAAATATGACGACTCTTTCAGAAGTTCTCCTCTGACACGTGGTTCCACATAGATGTTAATTTTCTTCTGCTCCCTTAACCATCTGATAATAATAAACAAAGATTATGCAAGTAACATAAATTCAACGAGGTTTGGCACGCATATAAAATGTAAAGTTAAGATGAAAAATTCTCAGTTCTATGACCTGTCATATATTTATACCACTAGGAACGACATTGGAAGACAAGGCAGCAGCCAAAACATTTTTTAGTGTGGCTACTTTACTAACTAGATAGGAAAAATCATTTAAAATATAAGGAACGGTTTCAATGAGTGGCTACATCTGATTCAGGTCAGGGGTCATGTGGCAAGGAACATACTCTAAGATAACTGTGCTTTGGTCTGAAAATTGGATGGCATGGAAGTCAATGCTTATATGGGACCCAACTTAGGATTATCACTTTTTAATGCAGGCAATCTTCAAATTTGTAATGAACAACTGACATTGTACCAAGATGAAACATATTTACAAGAATTTACACTTTCAAAAAACTCACCAAAAGGGAGAATGCTCTAAGTTCTCTAAGATCACGTCAGTACATATGCATGCATGCATGTAAAGATTCACACCTAATCATTTCCACACACAGAATTCGAACTGAAACTGAGTTTGGTTTGGTCAGTATGAGCACTGTCCTTGGGGATGATTCCCACTTCAATGAGATCTGAAACCAATGGGTTCTCAATTAGCCAATAGACAACCATGAAAGCTTTATTACTGATATATAGAAATTATAAATTTATTTAACAAGTGATGAAGCTAAATGCTCCAGAACAGAAGGAATACCTGCTTACTGCTGCGCTCAGCAGTTGTGATATTTCCTCTTTCAAAAGAGACAACATGTTTGTGCTGATCACTTTGCTCACCTTTGCAGCACCATGAAAGTTTAAATGAAGCCTAACGCAGGAAGAAAAACAGTTATAGCAACCAAACACCAAACTAATTATCAGAACAATTCAGTTCACAACAAATAAGTTAGCCAAAATACCTTTCTAACCATTGGGGAATCGGGATCATGTATGCCATCCCAAAGTACTTCATGGGAACAAATCCCATATCTTGCACAACATCTTTTAGACTGCTCATCACATAATGCTGGTTGGTCGGCTGGGTTATCCATCCCCACATCATCAAGATCACTTTGATTCTCACGCCAAAAGTGCTCTGCAATAGAAACAAGCAGAACAGAGAAACTATGAGCTGCCAAAATTTGGGACATGTATATAAAGTCGCTCTTGAGATAGAAAGTTGACAAACGGATTAATAGGAAATGATCAACCAAGCCACATAACACAACCAGATATTAGCAAATTCGGAACTATCAACAATCCCTGGGATTCCAACAACTATGTCACTGAGAAAATCTCAACAAAGCCACCAGCCACTTCTTGATATTGCAGAATTAAAATTGCAGGTAAACAATAAGCCTTCAAAATCATTCAATGATTTAGTTTCTCCTTAAGATTGACATCATCAAAAGAAATTGTCCCTACCCTATTAAATATTTGAAATCAATACAAACATCCTTTGAATTTTGCTAGAATTACACTAGCCTTTCTCTAAAGAATAAATTGAATAAATCTGAAAGAAAATCCATATGACATACTCTTTGTTTTAAGGAAAGATTAGTGTAATTTTCGCAAAATTAAGGGATGTTTATATTGATCAGCAGTTACAAAACAATATGTAAAGTTGTAACTACACAAAGTACATATAGCAGCTCTTTAATTTCCTAGAACCTTTATGTTCCAACTGTAGATTCCGTGCCCTTTCCAACTCATATTTCTGTCTCCATTCACCAGCCTCAGTTTGAGCCAAAGTTTTTCCTTCAGCAGCCAGCCTTAGGGCCTTTGCCACAACTAGATAAAACAAGGATCCCAATATCAAGATTATGTCTTGTTGCAGTTGATATTAACAATTTCAACAAAATATGAGCATACTGTTCAAGGCTTCAGAGAACTCAATGAGATGGTCATTTGACCCCTGAGCAGGAGGTTGAAGAAGTTCATTTACTGCCTTCTCAGAAAAGAGGGAAGTGGAACCAACAATACCGTTCTCAGACTGGGAACATGGTATACCTGTATTGTCCTGTTACGTGTAGGATTTCAAACAGTCACAAGAGAAACATGCTCAAAAGTTGAAACCAACAAGGCAGCTATAACACATAATATGTGGCACGGATCCCCACCAAAACAGAGAAATATCATGCTACAGCCTGAACAAGAGCCACAATGATTAAAATCTAATCAATCCAAAGATTGATTCGTGGGGACTACGATAATCCAGGATGCTTAAATCCTACATTGGGTAGTATAAGTTTTTAACAAGATACTTAAATAAAGTGATTATGAAACCTTAGTAGCTAGCTTCTGAGAGAAAATTTTCACTCTGCTTAAGTAAACATCATTTTGTAGCTCTGAAAAAGACAACCTGCAATGGGTTCTGACTAGAATTGCATAGTGCAGTCATCAGGATGTTGATTTTCTAGGAGCAGCAAACTGATAGGGACCGGGATGGTATGAAACGTACAAGTCTTGAATAATATAGGTTCCCCAATAGAATACTTGAGTAATGTGATTATATCAGCTCAATGGCTAGCATTTGTAAGAAGGTTCCCAACCCACTAGGGTGCTTATCATTGATCAATTAGAAGTGATGATTTTTCAATTTCCTAAATTTTCAGAAGACAAACTTATCATAGATGAAAAAGGGGTAGATTTCAATAATTTATCGATAAATAGAAAAAACAAATTATCTGCACAAACAACTCGCAAGGCTGTGTCTTTTAATAAACAAAAAGTCATCTACTTTAGTTCTAAAATTCAAATGCTAGGATTTATTTGGGTGCCTGAGCATGATCCTTAACGACGCCACCAAATCCCACTTGATCATATAATATAACAGTAAAATAAAATCCAATGAAAGCTCAATATCTTTGAATTATTGCTAGTTTACAACATCTACGTGGATAACTGGATTCCAAATGTACTAATCCAGAATATTGCCATTGCAATAAAAAAAAAAAAAACCATCTTTGAGGTTTCTGCAGATTATTAAAAAAATATATATATTTTCCATGGAACAGTTCAATTTTGGACAAAAGATGCTCTCTTCAACCAACTGAAGTCACGGTCCCGAGATTTACAACACGGAACGTTCAAGGGAATTTTCAATCTAACCTCATTACGCAAATTCCATGATTTTCTCACATTCCTACATTATGACATGACATGACGGAAACATGAAGAAAAGAAACCGCCCAGTCTCAATCCCAATAAACACCAGAAAGAGGTCTCAATCAAGAAACTCGTTGAACTAATACAATGGATGTCCATGATTAAGGCAAAACAAAGTAATAGTTTGCAGTAAATAATCAAACACGAGAAATCGATACGATAGAAGATGGAATCATAGTTACCAGGGGATTGAGCTTGCTTGGCGGCATAGGAGAGCCTTGAGATGGGGAAGGGACAGAGATGGAAAGATGGTTATGGAAATTGGTTCGGTTCTCTTCACTGGTCATACACACGAACTGAACGTAGAATCTCAAGTTCTTGAAGACATTCCCATAGATTTGGCTGGAAACTTCATTTTCATTCATCGCTTCATAGTTCATTCACACACGAACTCGTTCGGCGGGCGTCGTGTCGGGTACGCGCTCGGTTGCGCGTAACAAATTCAGTTGAACCAATTTTTTAATGGGAAAATGACAATAAAACACCTCCTAAAGCCATTAATTACAGTTAAGAATTCTAAATGATTAAAATTTCAATAATAAATCATAGTTTTTATTTAAAATTAAAAATATATATGAATTTATAAAATTTTTTTCCACTTGAAAAATAAAAAAATAAAATTTCTGAAATTAATATCATGGGATGTAAATATTGTTAATCTCAATTAGAAAATTAAGGAATAATAGTTGGGAAACTAATGAATAATAGTTGGGAATGAATTATTTCCTAATATGAAACTAAAATTTACTTTTGAAAGGCACTTGTGAATATACAATAATTACTTAAAAATTGAGAAAATTATGTTGAAATCTCACACAAAAAAATTAATTAGTACAGGGTTCATTAACAATTGCTAAAATTATTTACTTACTTGTGTGGGGACCTATATGTAATTCTTCCTTGAAAATGTGCTAAATTCACTTTTAAATATGAACGCAATCATTTATAAATTTTTATATTTGTTAATATATAGTTAGACCACTTAAAAAAAATAAAGAAACAATACTATTGAAATTATTATCATGAGATAAAAATATTATTAATCTTAGTTAGAAAACTAAGGAATAATAGTTGAGAATTGATTGTTTCCCAACATGAAAGTAAAATTCACTTTTAAAACTTTCTAAAAACACTTGTGAATACAATAATCACTTGAAAATTTACTAAGGTTGCGTTTAGATGGATGGATTTCAGTTGAGAATTTGGATTTAAAATCTCACATTTAAAATTTATAGATTTTAATTTTTTTGTTTGGATGATATAAAAAATTAAAAATTATAATATTAAAATAATTTTTTGGATTTTAAATAAAATTCTAAATTTCAAATTATATGTTAGAATTTAAAGAAAACTTGAAAGATATTAGTGATCCGACCTAAATCAGGGGTGATGACTTGGTCTTGGGAATGCACCAAACGGTAGTAGCAAATTAACACTACATGCCCGCGCTGATGATAATAGCAAAGCGATCAATGCTAGCAATCCAATCCCAATCATTGTTGGTAGTTCGATCTTGATCAAGGTCGACAATCCAATCTAAGTCATAGCTGACTGTCCAATCCCAGTAATCACCGACGGTCTGATGTCAATTGTCACCAACCATGTTGTCTCGGTCATTGTTGGTGGTCTAGTCTCGATCGTCTACTACTGTCCAATCTTAGTGGACGCCAGCAATCTTGTCTTGATAGATGTCAATCGTAGGCAGCAATGTTGAAGTCAAAAAAGTAGTGAAGTTGACAAATGAACAGAAAGAAAGAGAAAAGCGTCCACTAAAATTTAAAATAATAGGGATTTATAAAAGATTCAAAATTATAAAGGGATTGAAATAGGATTTGTCCACACATTTTTTAATTATCCAAATAATAGATTTGGCTTAAGTCCAAATTCAAATCTAAATTCGCATGTATCCAAACATAACATAAAGCTATTTTTTAGGGGCATTTTAGACTATTTGTATTCTTTTAATTCTAAGTAAAAACTATGGTTGATTATTGAGATTTCAATAATTTAGGATCCCTAATTGTAATTAATGGCCTTGGAGTCCCTAATTGTCATTTTCCCTTTTTTAATTTTTTTAACTAACCACTTTTTTAATTTTCAATTTGCGGCAAGAAAAAGGCATTAAATCTTAGGGAAAATGAAAATAAAATTCCACTGAAATATATAAATGACAATTAGGTTTTTCGAAATGCCATAATTCCTCTGAAATTTCTAGGTATATTTCTTTTCTTTCTTTCTTTTAATAATAGGGCAAGCTAAGCTTGTAAAGAAGAACAAAGTAAAAGAGTTTAAATACTATTAGCATAATCATTCACTATAATCTAATCAAGTAGGGCTTCAAAGTATGTTGTGATGTCATAAGTAAAAGAATGACCAAGCCTTGCTAATTGATTTGCACATTCCATGCTTTCTCTACAACTATAGTTGACTTCCAAGTCCTAGTCTTGATTAATGAGTTCTCTCGTTGAATCAATAATGTCACCATAAGTATGATTCCTTCTGCTATCTCGAAACAGGGTGTTAATGGCCTTTAGGGAGTTAGTAAAAAGCTAGATCTTGTTATAACCATGCTACTTACAAATTCCCAAACCCATGTTGATTGCCATGATTTCCATCATAGAGATCTTTTTGATATCAAATCACTCCACCACAAGCTGCTTGATTAGGATATCTAACTGAAGCATCAACATCCACACTAACAAAATCATGTCAAGGTTTGGTCCAAAAGTGATTGTTGTTCTAGATTTCATTGATCACCAAATGTTTGTATTGTCCATTTAGTTGAAAGAGACAAAAATGAAGAATTTGCTCTACTAAATTGCCTTTGCATGCCTTCAAAAATTATGCTACATCTATTTTTCTAGAGTAACCAGCATATATTGCAAAAGATTTTGATCCATGGCCATCTTCTAAAGGATGTTTCCCTCATGTCTCCTCAAACCTTCTCAGATCCAAACTTGCATATTGTCAAGGGCAATAAAAGACATATATTGGTTGGGAGAAATAGTAAGTTTCCACACTTCTTTGGCCACACAATAGCCTCTCAAAATGTTGAGGATATTTTCCTCACTATTACACTTGAAAGAATACTCCACACTATTAGAAAGACCTCTTTGGGCTTTTAGGGAGTTAGTGAGAAGTCTCATGTGAATCACTTGCTAGAAGAATAATTTTACTTTCTCTTAGATGAGTCATCATCAGAGTTGTTTCCACAAGGAGCCATTAGACTACTTGCTAGAGATATGAAGAGATTTATAGGCCGATCTACTACTAAATCTACCATTATTGGCGTATGTCCAACAAAACACGTCACCCTCATCAACATAAGGAGTCTCATTAGCACATATTTTTCTACGTACCTTTTTAATATTAATGATTTTAGATTAAATGACTAAATTATCTATTATTTAAAAGAAAAAAGATAATGGATTGAGAAGTTTTGATTTTTTACTCAATTTTTGCAATTCATAGAACAAAATTTTTAATTATTTAAAAAAAAGTTGTAATTAGTTATTTTCAAAACTTAGACTTCAATAATAAAAAAAATTTAACTTGAAAATATTTGATTTTTTGTTCAATTTTTGTGATTCACATAAATAAAGTGGCAATTGCTTAAACAAAATTATGATTGAGACTAGTTATTTTCAAAACCTGTTTATCAATTATAAAATAAATTTTACATTGAAAGTTGTAATTTTTTATTTAATTTTTACAATTTATAGAATAAAAATTGTGATTGCTTAAATAGAAATTGTGATTAGGAAAATAGAGCTAGACCCGTTATTTTTATTTTAAACAAGGGGTAATTTAGTCATTTAATTTAAAATCATTAATATCATAAAGGTACCTAGGGAATTCATAGGAATTATGCCATTTCAAGGGACATAATTGTCATTTATATATTTTAATGAGATTTTATTATGATTTTCCCTTAATCTTATTTAAAAAAAAAACAAATAACAAGGAGGGTGACATGTAAAAATAATACGTGTCATGTAACAACACCATGAGCATATAAGCAATAGTGTATATGAATTAAATTAAAATCTGGAGTATATACATTCCAAAGTACTAATTTTGTCCAAAGTCAAGATACATTTCAATTGCATTTATGGAGTATATTCACGAAATTCTTATTTTATAATTTTTTTAAATTAAAATTAAGAATAACAATGATTTGGTTCACCAAAAGAAAAAAAAAACAAATAAATCTTCAATGAATCAGTTAGAAAAGTGGAACCGCTGCAATATTGGAAATATATCAAAGAGGATTGATAACTTGGAAAGGCAACTTGAAAGGAACAGACAGATCAATTATGTGATAGGGCTGAAAATACGAGGAATCTGCTGGAGTTCTTGTATGATTGTGAAGAAGCCTTGTGGTCACAAAGACAAGCATTTATCACTTGTAAATGGAGACACACAGAAACACACAGTTCTTTCATTCCCCAGTTAAATCAAGAAGAGCAGCAAATAAAATCTATAGGATCAAGGACTCAAATGACAAATGGACATCAGACCCACAGGAAATTAATGAGAATATGATTGTAGGCACTTTATGATCATTTTTTTTTTTTTTTTTGTGAGGATACAGGCATACAGCAACTTCTTGGCAGGATGTGTCTTCTTATGTGGCCAGCTAGCCTTAATCTTTTCAAAAGCTTGGTGATATTCACAGGGATTTTTTGAATACTGACTTCAATTTTGAAGAGGTGAAAAGGGTAGCTTTTGAATTGCCTCATGACAATGCTCTATGATGGTTTTAATGCTAAATTTTTCCAGCATTTCTAGCTCATGGTTGGAAATGATATCTTCAATATGATACGTAAATTCAGAGACATGGGCTTTCTCCTATAGAAGATGAACAAGACATTAATTTATCTTATCCTAAAATGTGAAGCTACCCAATTTTTCAAAGACTTTAGAATAAACCTTTGCCATGTGGCCCACCTGGTGCAGAAACAACCTTTTTTTTTTAAAAAAAAAAGTTTCAAATACTTTCTACATCAGGTGAGATCTAGCCAGTATAAAAACTAAACCTTAAAAAAAAAAACAAAGAAAGAAAAAACTTCAGATACCTTCTACACTAGGTGAGGTTTACCTAATGTGAAAACTAAACATTTATTTAAAAAAAAAAAAAAACGTCTGATACTTTCTACGCGAAGATGAGGCTCACCCCATATAGAAACTAACATTTTTTTCGAATTTTTAAATTTGGACGAATATAAAAGTTGAGAAAATTGCATTGAAGCGCTGTTGAAGATCTTTAATTACGAAAAAAGACTAAGATATTCTAAAATTGCTTTGAAATTCCTCTTGTGACATCTGATGAAAAGATTGGATAAGAAAATATGAAAATAACCCTTCTAAATTTTAGTTGGTAGGAATATTGTTCTAAC